ACCAAACCTAACTATGAATAGGACCACCCAAGGGCACATGGCTGGAAACCAAATCTCCTTCCTACCTTGGTCTGATCTCTTGTCAAGTTTCCATCCTAGCCCCAGCTTTGCTCCCACTTGCTTATGGAGCAATCAAGAAACAGGTGTTATTTTTCAAAAAGGGTACGACAGAAAGAAGGGTTGCAAAGGCACACTCCGATGCTGGAAGGATCATGTGGAAGAGGGTTCTGTTTGGTGACATCACACAGAGCTTCAGATTTTTAATAAATATTGATGGATGGATGGAAGTCAAAGTGAAAGCCAGGGGAGGGCTACACATGTTCAGAGATCGTGAGCTCGAAATGTTCTCCTTCCAACTCTTCCCGAAAGGAAATCACACAGGGGAAAGCAAAGTAGTGATTAAGGAGCTAAACGGGCCACAGCGTTCTCTGGGGCCTTCTGAGTTCCCAGGCCAGGCCTGCCGCCTGCTCGCTGAGAGGAGCACATGCTCTCAGCCACAGCTTCCCTTCCCCTGACATCTTTCTGCCAGATGCTCGTTCTTGAATTCTAGAGGTGCTTGGCCCTCCTGGTTCCTGCAACGTGAGCCCAGAGAACTTTGATCCACCAATTTTCCCCTCCCTCCACCCCTCTAGCGAGCAAGGCTTGGCGCCTGGACAGCAAGAGAGGCCAGGCTGTGACCTTGGAAAGGCGCTCTCCTGCCCACCTCTGTGTGCCTGAAAGACGACCCCAGGACTCTGGTTTCGAGGGTCCCTGAGAGCCTTCTACTGCCTGGCCAGCTGGCGGCGGGAACCCGTACTTTCCACCATTTTCCTGGGTGAGCTGCGCTCTCCAGTCAGTCTTGAATCTCCCTGTAGGATTATCCCGATGGCTTTTAATTACAATCCAGCAAATCCAGAATCTCAGCAAATTACAAATGTGTGTAAACATAATCAGGATGTGGCTCCAATCCACTAGTAATTGTTAATAGAAAAAAAACCGGGCAGGGGGCGGGGGAAGAAAAAACTAAAAAGCTCTAAACAAGTAACAAAAAGTCATTCTGCAGGGTCTGTGCCTCGGGGATTTGCTTTCTTGGGGATCCTGCCGGCGCGTTCCTCCAGCCCACCCTGCAGCCCCTCAACTCCCTGTGGTGATGTGGGGCGGAAGCTGGGGGACTGTGGGGCCCGACGCCTGCAGCGGTGGCCTACGGGCTGCCCTGGGCTGGGGCTGCTTCCGGAGGGCTGAGAGCCCTGCAAGCCTTTCGCTCTCCCGTGGCCTCCGCAGGATTCCAGAAAAAGCGCTCCTGGGTCTACGAGACAGGGGGACCCTGCCGCCTGCCTCCAGACCCTGTCCCAACACGGGCATCTCCCTTTCCCAAGTTCCAGTTTCTGGACCCTGCCCGACCCTCCCTCCCCAGAGGCCACCTCAATTGCTGGGGCTGATCTCCCGGACTCGGGCCCCCAGAGCCTTCCTCGGCAGGGGCCGCTTCGCCAGCGCTGAGCTACCCAGCGCAGGCGGCGGTATTTTGAGCTCTCAGTCGCAGAGACGTTCTAGGGAAATGTTCATAGAAATTTCTATACGATAGAACATACATACACACATACACATATTCAGTCGACAAATGTTAAGCAAATGTGTCTGATGTTTTTGCGGAAGGCGTTAGCATCTTAGTTGGTAGTGGTAGTACTGGTTGATATTATTACACGAATGACAAGTGGATGATGTTTAGGGAGTGCCTGATCCCTCCCGAGAACACGGGGGAGTAGAAGTGGAGACTTCCGACTCTGTTTCCAACGGCCCATCCCTGATCTCCCCCGTCGCTACCTCTTGGTCACTAACCAGACCGCTCGACTGCGTACCGGGGACAAGGCAACTTTCTCCAAAGGGCGCTCTTCCTCGCCCGACAGATCGCTAGGCTTCCAGGGCAAGCGGCACGGTCCGGGGGCCGTCAGAAGCCGCAGGGCCTCCTACCCGGCCCTTTGTCCCAAAGGGCAGCTCGGTCAGTGTCAGGACGGAAAGAAACGTGAAATTCAACTATAAGTGAGTGTAGAGAAGGAGGCAGAGGCCGGGGCGCGTTTCAGGTCTGGGCAGGCTGGCAGACATGGGGAGGCTGCCCCGGGTGCGGGGACAAACCCAGCAGTGCCCGGCGCTCGGCGTGCAGGGAAGGGCGAGGCGGCCCGGCGGCCCTTCCCCCTAAGGTCATCCAGCAGGACGTAAAGGGAAAACCGCTGCGTGATTAAGTCGCGTCCATGCGAGCGGGCAGGTGGCCCTGCCACGTGCGGCGTTCGGCTTGGGCTCCCGGAGGCGGCGGTGTCGGAAATCCCCGCGTAAGGCGTCCGGCGCGGCGCTCGCACTCGGTGTGGGCCCAGCCGGGGCGCGCCCGCCTCCCGCCAGCGCCGCGCGGGCCCCGCCGCGCCGCTCGCACCCGCCAGCCGCGCACGGAGGTTTACGGCTCGGAGCCCCGACCGCCGGGGAAGCGCGGCGACGCGCGCGGCGCACCGCGCGGCGCTGGCGGGACTTCGGGCTCCCGGTCGGGGGTGCGCGCGGGTCGGGGATGGGGAGGAGGAGGGCGAGGGGCTGGAAATAGGAGGGGGCAGTGGGTGGACTAATGATGAAAAAGTCTCCTCCATCCCGGCTCCTTAATTAAATGCATGGAAAGAACCGAGGCGAGCACATCTGGTTTCAATCTGCAGCCCTTTGATGGCATCAAATGTTCTTTTCCCAGATCAGGGCTGGGAGTTCTGGGCTAACTATGGCCGTTTGGAGCCCAGAAAGCATTTAAACACATTCGGACCCTTCTTTCTCTCCAGTCGAGCCTCATGGCTATAGGAGGAGGAGGGTAAAAACAAAAGGGCGGGGGGGGGGGGGGGGGGGAAGTCTAGTAATCAAGGCAGTGGGAAAGTGTGTGTCTGTGTGTGTGTGTGTGTGTGTGTGTGTTTGAAGAACATAAAATGCCACAAATAAGCACTTAATATTTTACTTACTCGTCATATAGTAACTCATTTCTAATGAGACTATTAAAGCTGTTCCCAAATTCCAACAGGTCATGAAAAAAATCCCTCAGCACCTCTCTGTTCCTTGTCAACTTAGGGCTCAGCAGACGGACGGCAGAGCATTATCCGTAGACTCGGGGGTTCCTCCATCCCTCCCGGTCCTTCCTCGTACGCCCGCCGGCCCAGGCCCCCGGCCGGACCCGGCGCCGCGCGGCAGCCCTGCCCCCGCCGCGCGCCCCCGGAGCGCCCCTGCCTTCCGCGCATCTGGGCAACGCGACCCTCCCGGCTTAGCGTCGTCGCCAGGGGAAGCGACCTTGGCCGCACCAAAGAGGTTACGAAATTGGCCAGGGTGGGGGGAGGAGTGAGCAATTTTGCTACACTCGGAGAGTCCTTTCCTCCAGCTAAATAAATATGTAAATTTCTTACTGCCCCGGTCCCGGGATTCCTCGCGGCGCGAGAGCCTCGAGCCCATTCGGCGCCTTCTAGATCGCCCCTAACCTGCCTTCGGTTCGCGCAACAAGCGTGGGAGAGCCTCCCATTATTATCGCTCCTGTTATTTTATGACATTATTTAAGAGGCTGTCTCTACGGAGCCAAAAGTAGCTTCAGTTTGCTTGCTCTCTCCTTCATTTTCTCAGACACCCCCCCACCCCCACTCCCAAAAACTGTTAGAATTGCAGGAAACGCTAAAAAAAAAAAAAAAAAAGTGCGGGGGGGGCAGAGAGAGGGAAAGAAGAAAATTTGATTGAGATAGTTGTGGATTTTTTCCAACAAGTTTCCCCGCAGCTGTTATCAAAACATGCAAATGAGATTTTCCAACAGGATCTTAAACAAATCTGGAGGAGTTAATGCCCAAGCAAAATAATCAGCCCGTTTGAAGTGACTGTGGGTTTCAGTTTGTCTTTTCTCCCCGTGATACTATTGCAGGGGAATGATAATTAGACCTTTACTTAAAAAATCCGAAGGGGCTCTCTCGCTTTCTCTTCCCTCCCTTTTCGCTCCCTCCTCCCTCTCTCGCTCCGCTCCCTCCCTCTCTCTTTCTCTCTTGCTCAGATGTTGGCAAAGGGGGTTTTCTTAATCAGACTGTTTTTTGGTCCGAGGGAAAGGAGGAAGAAGGAGATTGTGATGGAGAAAGGGGGTCTGTAAAACGTCAGGCACCGCACAAAGGCTTTGCCACGTAATTACAGGCTCCTATTAAGTCGAGATCTGCCCTCCCAGGGGTCTCCAATTTTCTTGTATTCCCTACAAAGCCTCCTCTGCATGCCAGTTTGTGCCTTTTGAAGTGCCAGAGAGCTTCTTGATCCAACTGAGAAGGAAAAGGGAGCTCAGCAAGAAGAGGGGGAGAGGGAGAAGGGAAAGGGGGGACCCACCACCACCCTCCTTCGGACTCTTGAAGCCCTTTTTTTTTCTTCTTACGAAAAGTAAAGTGAGAATCCTGCTCTCCAATACATCTGCAAGACATCACCCTCTCCTCCTGAAACTTTAGTCACTCCTGAGAATCCACAGGAGTGCAGAGAGGGGGAACACGTTTTCTTGAAGATGTTTTAAAGCTGGAACAAGCCTTCTTCTGTTGGTGCTTGAACTCTTGCCTGGGAATAACTTTTTTAACCTTGAAAAAAAAAAACACTTTGATTCTTCTCTCTTCTTCTGTTTGCCTAACTCCCCCGCCCTGCTGGCCTCCCCTTTCCTTTCTCCCTCTTATTATTATTTTTAGTGTGTGCGTGTGGACGCTTTTGGAGAGCTGGAAGGAATTTTTTTCCTCCGGACTTGAACATAGGGTGACTTTTTAATTTTATTTTTTGGTGTGGATTATCTCCTTGGACCGCGCCGGACTTGGCCTCAGGAAAGCCACCGAGGCTGTCGAAGGCTGTTGGTGCAGAACGCTCTTCTCTGCAGAAGGGGGTCCCCCGCCCTCTTTCCAATTTTTTTTTTTGTCCTTCCCCTCCTTCTCTCTCTCCCTCTCTCTCTCTCTCCCTCTCTCTCCACTCCCCCCTCTCTCGTCCCCACTCGGCTCCTCTCCCCCCTCGCGCCCACAGCGTTTGGTGTTGATTCGAGCGGGAAGAGGGGGGTGGGTGGGATCGGAGGGGGAGACCATGACCTCCAGCTACGGGCACGTTCTGGAGCGGCAACCTGCGCTGGGCGGCCGCTTGGACAGCCCGGGCAACCTCGACACCCTGCAGGCGAAAAAGAACTTCTCCGTCAGTCACCTGCTAGACTTGGAGGAAGCCGGGGACATGGTGGCGGCGCAGGCGGACGAGAGCGTGGGCGAGGCGGGCCGGAGCCTGCTGGAGTCCCCGGGACTCACCAGCGGCAGCGACACTCCACAGCAGGACAGTGAGTGAGGGCGCGGGCCCGCGGGAGCGTGTGTCCGGGGCGGGAGGGCTGGGGTCCCGGCCGGCGCCTGCAGCCCGCCTGGGGGGCGGGGGGGGGGGAGTCGGGGGCTAGGTCAGGAGGTGGCAGTGGCCGGAGGAAGGGCCGGCCGCAGACGGGGAGAAGGGTGGGCCGCAGCGAGAGGCGGGGAGGTCGGGGTCGGGGACTCTGCCCGCGCGGGCGGCCGCTGGAGCCGATGGGCCGCCGCTCAGTCCGGGGCGAGCACGGCTCCGCGGGGCGACCGGGCTGGCTGGGAAAGCGTCCCCGAGGGCTGTGAAGGCGCGGGCCTGCCCCGTGCAGGAGGGCGGCGGGTTAAAGGTGCCGAGCCAGGCCCGCAAGGCCCCTCGCGGGTCCCGAGAGCGGGTTCGGAGGCAGGCGGGGCAGAGGAGGAGGAGGAGGCCACAGAGCGCGGCGGCGACACTCGCGCGGCCCCGGCGGCACGCGGGGCGCGGGGCTCGGGAGGCCGGGGCGTGCGGGAGGGCCAAGCCGTTCTCTGTCCCCGGCTGTGGCTGCCCTCCACCTGCAGCTGTGTTTGAGACCCTCGGCAGAATCAAAGGCCTGTGCCTCGGGAAGACTCAAAGGGAGTGTCCTTTGGGGTGAAACCCGAGCTCCCGCCCCGAAGGATCCGGCACCGGAGAGATGCGCAGGGGAAGCGCGGGCCCCAAAGCCGAGCCTGGTGTCACAGTCGAGGAGCTCTCCCTATTGGCCCTAAGACCTCGAGAAAAGCCCTAGTACAGTCTCCCTACCCCATCCTTCCCTACTGATACCGCGTCCCCACGGAAAGCTCGCCTGGCCTCATTAACCATGCCTTAAAAAATGACTCCAAATGGATCCCTAAGTTCTGGAATCTATAACAGACCTGTCACCTGGCTCATCCCAGGTGACATGGGGCTTGATGTTTCCTCCTTGAGATTTCAAGGGTCTGAATTTGACTGGAAGTTTTTAAAGTAGGCGAATCCCTTTCCATGTCATTTATTTTGTTTTCAAATTTGGAACCTGTAGACACAGGAGAACCGCCGGCATTCCATGATTTAAAAAAAAAGAAAAAACCAATATCAGACTCTCGGGAAATAGACAAAGCAAACGAGACCCAGTGACCGCTGGAAGTAAGGCCTGGGCAAAGTGCTGCAATGAGGCAGGCGGCAGAGACACCCCTTTTTCGGGCAGGCCGCCTGCCCCTCACCCAGCTTCCTTGGGCCAGGCCTAGGATCCCCTCAGTGTTTTTCAGCCCAAATCGAACTGAGGTCGAAAGCCTCCACTATTCCCAGAGGCAGAGGGTGACGGGGAGTTTGGGCCGATGGAAACGTGGCCTGGCCTGTTACTACAGAAAGAGGGCCGGCTTTGAGGAGTGAAGACCCAGTGTCCCCACAAGTTCCGGGGAATGACTGGGCACAAGGCGGAGGCTCTTGAAGATATTGGTGCCTGGAGGGAGTGCAGGGGAAGGGGCTTGCTCAAGCTGCACGCAGTCCACAGCAGGAGTTTGCATAGACACTTTGAGCTCCAAGAAAATGCGTGGTGAAATAACGTGTTTGTTTTTTAAACGTTTTACTAGGGGAAATGTAAGTATGCAAAACACAGGGGGGCTAGTGTTCCGAATCTCCAAGTGCCTACTGCCCAGCTTCGCTGATTTCTCGCTTTCAGCGGTGCTGAACCAGGTTCGCCCTGGTTAATTATTAATCGCAACTTTAATCGCTGTTCGGAGAACTGGAGGCTGGACCCACAACCGAAAACAGGGTCCTGAAGAAACTGGCGCGTGAAAAGGGCAGGTTGGGGCGAGTGAGACCAGCCAGGGTTGCTTTACCCCTAAAACAAGCAGAGGGATGTGAAAAGCAGGCCCAAGGGCAGTGGTCACGGCAAGTCTGGGGCCGGCACTGGCTGCAATGGGCGCAGGATACTATAGGGCTGGAAGCCTGCTGAGGGGACACCAGGAGAAGGGAGCTCAGAGTTCTGGTGGCCTCCTAGTGCGCATGGAATGACTCTCTGCTGGCTGTGGAGGCCGCCTGGGAAGCGCCCTCCACGCTGAAGTGTAGGTGGCGTGAGGTGGTGGCTCCAGTGAGAACCCTCGCCTGGCGTGGCCAAGGTCGCACTGTGCACTTGGCATTTGCCATGGTGGGAGAGGACACAAAAAGGGCAGCAGGGGAAGTTGGGCCCGTGTGTCCTGAGGGAAGGGATGAAAACTTAGGGAGCCTGTCCACTTGGTTCTTGATCGCTCTGAAAGGAAACTGAGGTTCGGATGCCAACCAAAGAGAGGATGTTTACGGAAGGATGGTGGACAGACGGTTCTGAAAGGAGGTAGCAGAAATGCAGACCGCGGTGATGGGAACAAAGTGACCAACACTTGGGGCTGGGAAAGTAGCAAGAGCAAGGCACCACAGGCCTGGCTTTCTGGAAATGGCCGGGGCCTATTCTTCTAACAAATAGAAGCAATAGTTGTTGCTTTTAGAAGCACTGTTTCCTCAACCTCCCCACTCACCTCTGAGTTGAGAATAGGAAGGTCTGCTGAGTGGGGTGATAGTATCTAAGAGGACCCTTGCCCTTAGTCCTTGGGTCCACCATCAAGATCTCAAAGGAAGCCCTTGTGAGCTCCTTGAGTCAGGACCCAAGTGGGCAGTGACGGCTCAGACGGGGAGTTAGAAAAGAGAGGAGTCTTCAGGCAGAGGACTAAAGCTAAGCTCTGAGCCTGAAAGGGACAGAGCACCACATGAAGAATCGGGTGCTTCTTTCAGTCTCCCTCAAAGTGGAAACCATAATCTTTTTCAGAGGGATGGGACATGTGTCAAAGACGTGGTTTACTCTCCCAGCGACACAGAAACGCGTTCTTCTTCAATTTTCTTTACAGCTATAATTCATAAAACAAGTCATTGTAAATGACAATGCTATTGCACATTTCCCAGTTACAACCTGGGCCGACCTTAGCAAGGAGGGATCAAGTACCGTCCAAAGTCAGAGCTTCTCGCTGACCTTTACGCAGTTCTGTTTCCTCTTGGGCTGATATTCATTGCACTTTCCTCTCTGTAGAATGGTTTCTTTTCCCTTCTACTGATTTTCCAAGCCCAGTAAATTTCTCAGACTTCTGGGTTCAAATGCCTTACGTGTTTAAAGAAACGGTTCTTTAGCCGTTAGGAATCCAGTGGCTAATGGGGGAGTGTGGAGTGTGAGGGGGTGGAACCGGGGAAGCCAGGGAGAGGAAAGAGGAACAGGTCATAAAAGTAGGCAGACTCCTAGGAGAACGGTGCATCCTGCTGTCATTTCTTAAATCTGAACTTCTGCAAACTCTTAAAAAAAAAAAAAAAAAAAAGCGCCTCCCTTCCACGTTCCCAACCCCTAAATTAGTGAAACCAGATTGTCCTAATAAGACCTTTTGTTGGAAACACATGTAGTCATAAAAAGGTAGACGGAAAGTCAATTAGACACGCGTGCACACACGCACACAGTCCCAAGCCGGTGCTAAGTGTGCACCGGGTGCAGCTGGGCCCTGGGCCTCTGCGGGATGCAAATGCAGAACAGTGGCGCGGGGAAATCGATTTGTCACAAAGGGAGAGGTGTAAAAGCGGCGGCGCGAAGGAGTCACCAGCCCCATTTCCCGGGCCCACCTCTGCCGTCTCCTCCCGGCCAGGGGTACGCCCAGGGGAGCGGGAATGCAGGGTGCTCCCTCCTTGGAATTCACAGCAGAATATCAATTTCCCTCAGAGTTTCAGCATTTGTAACACCCATGGCACCAGAAACTGTTGAGGCACCACCCTGGGGCCCTGCAGCCGGTGCTGGCACTCTGAATTTGGGCCTTAATGATCTTGATCCAAAGAGAAGCCAATGAAATATATCATTTTAAGGGTAGCCTGGACATTTTTTCTCTTTATAGGAGGCAGTGAAATCCAGAATCAAGGGAGGCCACGGAGCCCCTATTGTCTCAGGTCAAGTCCAGAGAAGAGGTGGTAAATCCTGTTTAACAGGCAGGAACAGGGCGCTGGATGGCCTCCTTCTCTTAATATTTAGGAGAATGTGACAGTCTGGTGACTCTCACCGGCCTTCGAGAGAGACGGGCAGCCCATAATGTGAAGGTCAGGGTTCGCGGCCTATATAGTCTGAGGCCCCAGGCTGCCAATACTCTCTGGAGCTCCAGACCCCCCCACTCTAGAACACAGTGAGCCAGTGTCTCCACCGTTCATTGAACTGAGGAAGCCCTTTCCAAGACTCCTGAGCCCTTCTGCCTCATCTTTGGCACCGCGACCTTTAGGGTTCCCCGCATACTTGGGTTAGACCGTGGGTCACAAGGGGCCCCGCAGTTCCTTCATCTTCCCAGGGGCGTCATTTTAGATTTTACAGCACGAGTGGATAAATCATCTCCAAACGAACAAGGTGTCACATACCCACTCCTCCCTTGCAGGGAGGGGGGTAACCCCAGCCACTTCAGAACCAAAGTTACTACTCCACTGTCTCGGATAAGAGTCTTGGATCCCGCTTCCGGCCCCAGCCACCACGGAGACCTTTTTTCACTTTTGAATGGCACCTGTAAATTTTCAACTAGAGGTCCATTTGATTTTTATTTAAAAACAAAAAGAATTTCTTTTACAATGGCTCTCCCATAGCCTGCTTCCGTGCTCCCTCCTTCGGCAGGGACCACCACCCCAGCTGACCGCTAGCCCCGGGAGAGCGCCACTCCTTCGCTGGCGCTTCGGGGACTCAACGGGGCTGTCGGAGATCTGTGCGCGCTTGTGCTCAAGGCGATCCCGCGTGCCTCCTGTCCGTGGCGGTGCCGGCTTTCAACGGTTCTAAGATTATGTATTTATTTTTTATTCTTTGAGAGATGGAGTTAGAAGAAGTGCTAAGAGGTAATTTTTTTTTTTTTTTTTTAAGTAGGGGGAGTAGTGTTTATTGAAAAGGAGATAAGGCTTGAGTTTTGCTTTTTTATCCCCCACACCCGCAGGGGGTGGAAGAGTTTCTTGGGGAAGAACTCCACCCGGAAG